TGACTCTATGTACTTGACTCCACGCACTGCCCTCTAAGACTTTATACACTCGACCCCGTGACGTTACATAGTCTCCAATTACATAGCTCCAAAACTCATGGCTAATGATGCTTTCGGGCCACTCGTCTTCTAGTTGGTAGGTTAAGGTAGGGTTTAAACTATAGAGTTCTGGGTTTTCGATGTGAATGGGCCTCCGATCTTCGTAATGGACAATCCTGTACTTTGCCGGCCTAAAAAAGCCGATTATGGGCTTCTAAATGTTTCAAATCAATCTGCCTACTACTGTATGGTCGCCTTGACATCCGTGGACCACGAAGGCTAACACCTACCTGGGCCCCAAAAGTACGTAGAATGATAGTCTCTTATAGATGTTGGGCCATTATTCGTTTTATCAGCGTTTTTTGGCTTTTGTGTAGGTATAGAATCCATCCAAATTCCCGTAGAGCCCCTGGTTTTTCCGTAAGCCCTAAGCCCAAAACCCGACCTTGACACCAAATACCTTACCTCTTCAGAACTTTTGTAAGGAAATAACAAGAGGGAGCCCCAAAAAGGTAGGTTGTTTCAGGTCCAGTATAACCAAAACCTAAACCCTAAACCCAAAGCCCTAAGCCTTTTTCCCCCGAACCCCTGAACCCTAATCCCATCTATTCCCTAAACCCACTCCCAGGTCGACAAGGAGGGCAACACAGCCCTGAGAGCTGCATCGGGTAACTTTTGCTCCACCATCGTAACTGAGACTTGTTTTTGCTGTTTCTTTTCTTGTGCAGTGGTTGCAAAAGATTATAGGGTTTAGAGTTTAGGGGTTAGGGATAAGCCCCAATAAATATCATAATCTTACTCAGACTTGCTTTTTGCCATTGTTTGTTTTATTATTGTTTGTAACGGATTAGGGTTTGGGGCTGAAGGGTTTATTAGAGTCTAGCTTCCCTAGGGGTTACCGGTTTAGGGACTAAGCTGGGTTTTTCAGGCTTAGGGCTTTGGGGGAGTAGGGCTTAGTGTCGTCTATTGTTGTGATAGTACGGGTTTCCTAGCTTGGGGTTAGGGTATTAGGGTTTAGGGCCTTAGCTTGAGGGTCCTTATGCTATGGATCCTGTCCTTTAGGGTGATAAACATTCGAGCTCTGATTTTCTGAAAATTCCAAACTTTGTGTAAGGTATAGTTTACAATATGCGCCTCTGTGGACAGCGAAGGTAGGCCTTCTCGTGGAGGCCGGTGTGGGCATAGATGTGGCGAATCGCTTTGGCAAAACAGCCCTGATCTCTGCTGCTGAGCACGGCTTCCTCGACGGTTTGCAATTGCTGCTGAAATCCCGCGCTGATAAAGAGCTGACTGACAATGAAGGCAACACAGCACTCATCTCTGCTGCTGCAAACAAGCAGAACTTCTGCGTGCGATGCTTGTTGCATGCCAAGGCCAACCCTGATGCAAGGAACCAGAATGGCAAGACCGCCCTGATCTACTCTGCTATCCACGGCTTAGACGACAACGTGACGCTGCTCTTAACATGCGGTGCTGACCGGAATCTGTGCGACAGCAATGGCCGCACAGCTCTAGATTCTGCGAAGTCACTCGAGCACTGGAAAGTTGTACAGATGCTGCAAAGCTGGACCAATGGGGAAGCTGTGACCCGTCGCATGTCTTTTCTGCAGACTTCCCTGGAAAGCTTTCGGACCCTCCGATCTCTGGTTCAGGGCCTTAGAATCGATGTGTGCGGCCGTGGCAGCTGAAAGCGTTCATGTCCTCGCCGGCTAGCGGGTTGCTTCTCACCAGCTTCGGGATCATGGGCATCGACACCCGAAACTTCCTGCGCCCTATGCCCTCAACCCTAAATCGTGCTCAGAGGGTCCTGGGACTGCATAAGTAAGATGATAATAATATGCGCCGTAATGGCGGCTAGCCATTATTTTTGCATACAGCTGACTTACTTATGACCCTAGTTCCCAGTCCCACAAGTTTACCCTCAACCATACAGCCCGCCTCAAACCCCACATCCTGTATGTGTAAGAACTAGTACGCCCGCAACAACATGGGTCCCCGGGATCCCATATTACAAACCCCAACATGGTGGCCTTCAAAAGGGGAATATGAGAATACTGTGCGGGTGTATGATTTCTAGTATGTATGTATATATATATGTGTATATATATATATACATATGAAGCAAACGCTGTTCGGGGAACGGGCGCACTGAACAGCTACTGTATGAGGTTAGATTGTCCATGTATGTATGTATGTATGTATGTATGTATGTATGTATGTATGTATGTATGTATGTATGTAATGTATGTAAGGGAATGCAATGTGATGTAATGTCATGCCATGTCATGTAGTGTAAAGTAATGTCATGTCATGTAACGTAATGTAACGTAATGTAATGTAATGCAATGTAATGTAGTGTAATGTAGTGAAATGTATGTAGTGTAGTGTAGTGTAGTGTAG